ACTAAGGGCAAAGAGTTTTTAAGTTCAACGTTCCAGCCTCTTTCCCTCTGGAAGAATGAATACAAGTACCTGATTTTAATTATGATAGCACCACCTTGTATAGCTTGTTCGACTCATTTGTTCCTACCAGAATCTGTAACAGCATAGAAAAAAGATTCATGACATCGAAGAGACATTGACTGAGAGGAGAGCTTTCCCCAGTCAGCAAGGCCGATTTTAATCATGCTGCTATCCTTGAGAGCTTTCAATAAACTCATTCACAGCCATGAGACAATGTTAAATCAGTGATTGTAGTCGATTAGCACTCTTCCATGGATCTTGTAAAGTAAAAAAAGAAAACAATATCACAACTCCATAAACAACTAATGCTTAAAGAATTTACCATCATAAAAGAACATCCAGACATTGAATTATTATTATTATTATTAAATTATTTTATTATTAGGTTATAGCAATCACAAACTTTGCTAAGAGATTTATAGATCATTTGAAAATGATTTTTAGATAATCATCTTTTTAGATTAATTTTTGCATATAAGATTAAAGAAAATTTGATTTGGGCATATAATTAATTTTTTTTTGCTACATATAACATTTGATTTCATATCATCACTCATGTTATTTTTAATTTTTGAAAAAATGAATTTTACGTGATTGGGGATTTAAGTCTGAGGAAGAAACTTCACGAAAGAGTTACAACTAAAAGATTAAAAAGTGAGATAGGTGTAATAGCATGGAAATTAGTTAATCAATTTTATTTTATAAGAAAAATATTTAATTTAAAATTCCACTCTTTAAACATTTACAAAATTATATCTAAACTTGGATATTTTTGGTATAAACCCAAAATAAACTTAGAAATAAATAATTTAAAATCATTAAATAATTTATAATTTGAGTTATGAAAGCCAAATTTTTTGCTTGGGCTATGCTCCATCTCTAGTATTATATAAATGACTGTCTAATGTGAACACATTGTAGAACAAAATCTCTTATACGATAAAGTTCTAGCTACATTGACATCTCACCTGCAAAACAATCTTGACCAAGCCCTATGTTTCTTCTGATGATGAATTCTATAACAACGTGATAGATTTGGAGCAGTCCAAGGCAAGATGACAATGTTTTTGAGATCAAGGATCAGTCCGTTGGTTTCTCGAGCTTGTGAGTTCAATTCAGACAAAGATTTCTTCCTTGCTTTTGAGATCATAATAGATTCCAATCCAAAAGGTACACTTGTATGGAGGAGGAGCTATGGAGCCGAATTGGCACCACTGCTCAAGCCACCGGTAGAAGTCAAGCACACACAGCTCCTCATCGATGGAAAACTCGTGGATTCGGCCTCGGGTAGCGACATAGTTCTTCCTGGATCATTCTAAATTCCTGTCTTCCAGGCAAAACATTCCCAACGATTGATCCACGCTCGGAGGAAATCATCGCCCAAGTAGCCGAGGGAGACGAGGAAGACGTGAACAGAGCCGTCAAGGCGGCTCGCAATGCGTTTGAGAAAGGGCCATGGCCAAGAATGACCGCTTACGTACGTAGCAATTCAAAAAATAGGGATTGATTGTCTCTCATTTGGGGTCGCAGGAGCGCTCCAAGATCCTCTTCCGCTATGCCGATCTCTTGGAGCAGCACAGCGACGAGCTGGTGGCGCTCGATGTTCTCGACAGCGGCAAGACGATCGATCAAGCGACCTTTGCCGAGATGCCGAATGTGATCCGGTGGTTTCGATACTACGCAGGTGAGTGAAGATTTTGGCAGAGAAGATCTCCAATCGTTCCTTTTTCTAGGATGGGCTGATAAGATTCATGGCATGACTCTTCAAGCCGATAGCCCTCACCACGTCCATACATTACACGAACCAGTTGGAGTCGTGGGTCAGATCGTTCCATGGAATTTTCCTATGATTATGTTCTCGTGGAAGGTAAGCAACGTTTTTCTTTGATCGTTCTATAGTTCGTCTAGCGATCATCGTTTTTCTTTTTTTACGTGAAAGGTTGCTCCAGCACTGGCTTGTGGGAACACTATAGTTTTAAAATCAGCCGAGCTTACGCCGCTTTCAGCAATCTTGGCCGGGACACTCGCTCTCGAGGCTGGAGTTCCACCGGGTGTTTTGAATATTATTTCTGGATTTGGACATACTGCTGGAGCTGCGATTGCGAGTCATATGGATATTGACAAGGTGAACGAATTTTTTAGTGTTTGCGATGCTTCAAGTCCGACTGATGTTTCCATTCTTTTGATTTTTCTATCAAGGTCGCATTTACAGGCTCGACAGAAGTAGGAAGGTCGGTCATGGAAGCCGCGGCCAGAAGCAACTTAAAGCCAGTAACTCTAGAGCTTGGAGGAAAGTCGCCATTTATCGTTTGCGGTGATGCTGATATCGACAAAGCTTTGGAGCTGTCACACCTCGCCTTGTTCTTCAACCAAGTAAGTTTTCTCTTTTTCTTCTTTCATACTACCAGAAAAAACACAAGCTGACATAATCGAGGACGAGCAGGGCCAAACTTGCTGTGCGGGATCCCGGACTTTTGTGCACGAGAGTGTCTATGACGAATTCGTGGATAAGGCAAAGAAGAAAGCAGAAAATCGTGTTCTGGGAGATCCTTTTCAAAGCGGTGTAGAGCATGGCCCTCAGGTACACCTATCTATTTTTCCTCCTCTTGCGAAGCATGACGAATGCGTGACCGAGTATATGCAGGTTGATATTTCTCAATTCAACAAAGTCATGAAGTACATTGGTTATGGGAAGGAACAGGGAGCCACTTTACTCACAGGAGGAGAAAGACATGGAGACAAAGGATTTTATATTCAACCGACAGTCTTCGCGGACGTTGGAGTATGAACTTTATCTCCGAGATCACAGCATCGCACTGACTTTGATTCTCTCCGTGAATGGCAGGACAGCATGGCGATTTCCAGAGACGAGATCTTCGGCCCCGTCCAGTGCATATCGAAATTCAAGTAAGTTCCTTCCTAGCTTTCGGAACATTGGGCTCGTGTTAAACTATAGAGATCTCATTCAGGACGCTGGAAGAAGTTGTTGAAAGAGCAAACAACACTCCGTATGGTTTAGCCGCGGGAGTTTTCACGCAGAGCTTGGACACTGCAAACTTCTTGAGCCGAGCTTTGAAAGTGGGAACAGTTTGGGTAAACACGTACTACGCCTTCGATGCAGCCATCCCCTTCGGTGGCTACAAGATGAGCGGATTTGGACGAGAGAAAGGCGAGTACGTTCTCAAGAACTACTTGCAAGTGAAAGCAGTGGTCACTCCATTGAAAAATCCGGCATGGCTGTGAGTCTCTCATCTGGTAAGAACACCAAAAACAATTCAAGTATTTGTTCTTCACAACCACTATTCTTCGCAGACTTCTTCCAGTCCAAGAGAGCTCGCAAATCACTCCAAACATTAGACATAGCAAAAGATGCGAAAAGAGTAAAGAATATGCCTTTTGTGCCGTTTACCTCTTTTAGGGCTAGAGCGGTAGAACAGAGCAGTGGCGCCGGCGCCTACAGCGCGGGATTCAACGCTCGCCAAGGCCTGCATTTGGATCTTTCTTGCTGCGCTTGATTCTCCCGATCGCAGGATAGAAGTAGCCGCTGCTGGCCGCCTAGATCGAGCAGCAGGGCAGACGAATGGAATCTTTTGCCCGGTCCAAGAAGCCCCGTGCAAGCATCAGCGCGCCTCCAGGCGGCGAGGGAGGCCAATCCGTGGCTCAGAAGCCCGATTCTCGCGAGGTCGGGGCATTCCAGGTTCTTGCTTTCGATTTTTTTCCCTCTCCAAGGCCAGGGTCGGAGGATTTCGATCTTGCTGCGGGGAAACCCGCGGAGAAAGATCCGGCCCCGTCGAGATTCTGGCGGTCGCTTGTGCGTATCGTCGGCAAGAACAGGCTGGGGATGAAGACGAAGAGCTCGAGCTTGAGCCACGAAATTCTCGCGGAAAATCTCGAGCCGTGGAGTTATCCACTGGTGGATTTAAGCGAGAAAAAGATCAGTGGAAAGAAGTGGACATCGACTATCAAGGCTCTTCTCTTTGGCAGATCGAAGAAGACGAAGGAGAGCCCGTTTGATTCGTCGCTCAACACGAGCAAGGAATCGATAAGTCCCTCCGCCGTGTGCCCGGGACGCAGCTCGGGCGAGAGCTCCTCCACATCTTACATCACTGCCGATGGATTCTCTTCTCCAAACTCCGACAAGCCCAGGACTTCTTCCCAGCAGAGCTCATCAACTTCGACGCCAAACTTGATGGCTTGCAAAGAAACCTGCCGAGTTTCCAGAGAGACGAGCTTGATCATCGCCAGGAGCATCTCGAGGTTGTCCTGCGGGCACGATCGCGACGATCTTCTGGATACGATCGAGAGCGTCCCGCTGCTAGAGACCCCCAGATCATCAGCAATGTCTTCGCCAGCATCGAGCACTACTTCCAGCAAAAGAAGCTCGAGGATCTCTCCCCGGATCTCCCCCAGCCGGTGCCACGAGAAGCCGATGAGGCGCTCGTCCGCGGTGCTAGAACGAAGAATGCCGTCGTCCCCCAGCGCCATGAAGCTACGAGCGGCGGCAGCAAACGAGAAGAAGAATTCGCCGGCCCCTCTGGGCAATGTTGCGATCGTGAAGCAGTCGGAAGATCCATTCCGGGATTTCCAGGACTCGATGATCGAGATGATCAAGGCCAAGAACATCAAAAGCGACCGCGAGCTCGTCAATCTCTTGAACTGCTACCTCTCCCTCAACGCTCCAAAGCTCCATCCCACCATCATCGACGCTTTTGCAAAGGTCTGCCCACATTGATCTTAGAGTAAAATCTCCTAGAATCTTTTTGCTTTCATGTATCAACAAAACTGAAAGAAATTGTTTTGTAAAAGACTTAACTTTTATGTAATAAAACAAATTTAAACTGGGGTAGTTAAAACGATTCTGGAAGTTTCACTTAGGTAAAGTTCAAGGGTTCTAACATAAAGAATATTCTCGTTTAAGAGGGAGGCGTGGTTTCCAGAGTTTAGGGTTTTAGTAAGGTTAGCGTGTAGATGGATGGGAGCGGCAATTCTCTGGCCGGCAGCGTCGGGGGCGATGGATCCAAGCGGCGCGTCTCCTACTTTTACGATCCAGAGGTGGGCAATTACTACTACGGGCAGGGCCACCCGATGAAGCCTCACCGGATGCGAATGACGCACAGCCTTTTGGTGCACTACGGCCTCCACCTCAAGATGGAGGTCGTGGAGCCATTCCGCGCGCGCGACAAGGATCTCTGCAAGTTCCACGCCGACGATTACGTCGATTTCCTCAAGCAAGTCACGCCCGAGACGCAGCAGGAGTTCGCCAAAGTCTTGAAGCGATTCAACGTCGGCGAGGACTGCCCGGTGTTCGATGGGTTGTATAGCTTCTGCCAGATGTATACCGGGGGGTCGGTCGGAGGGGCCGTGCGCCTGAACACGAATCGATCCGACATCGCCATCAACTGGTCCGGCGGACTGCATCACGCGAAAAAGTGTGAGGCGTCCGGGTTTTGCTACGTGAATGACATTGTTCTTGCGATCCTGGAGCTCCTCAAGCAACACCAGGTACGCAAAGCTTTAAGTTTCCTTTTTGTTCTTTCTTTCCTCGGACTTCTTGTCCTCCTTGTCGAATGTAGACTTCGTCAATGGTTTGTCTTTTCTCCACACTGTTTGTCATTCGTTCTTTGTGTAGCGATTCATCGTGCTTTTGCCCTCTTGTTCTAAACTTCGTTTGTTAATGGTCTCTATTTGTTGCGCTCTATCACTGTGACTGGTCTTTCTGGCTTCTTTTGGATCTAAAGCTTAAACGTTTCCGCTTCGCAGCGCGTGCTCTACATCGACATCGATGTTCACCACGGCGACGGTGTCGAGGAGGCCTTCTACACCACCGACAGAGTCATGACGGTATCTTTCCACAAGTTTGGCGACTTCTTCCCGGGGACTGGCGATCTCCGGGATGTCGGCCACGGGAAAGGGAAGTATTACTCCGTCAACGTACCGCTTAACGAGGGGATCGACGACGAGAGCTACCAGCGGCTGTTCAAGCCGGTGATAAGCAAAGTCATGGAGGTTTACCAGCCGGGGGCGATTGTCTTGCAGTGTGGTGCCGACTCTCTCTCGGGAGATCGTCTCGGCTGCTTCAACCTCTCGGTAAAGGGTCACGCCGAGTGCGTGAGATTCGTGCGTTCTTTTAATGTACCTCTGCTCTTGGTTGGAGGGGGAGGATACACGGTAAGAAACGTTGCAAGGTGTTGGTGCTACGAGGTAAGAACTCCTTTCCTCTCGTTTTGGTGGTTTCTTAATTCTTTTTTTCTTATCAGACGGGTGTTGCTGTTGGAGTCGAGCTCGAGAACCAGATGCCTTACAACGATTACTACGAGTACTTTGGTCCGGAGTATACGTTGCTCGTGCCGGCCAGCAACAAGGAGAATGCTAATTCTCCGGAGTATTTGGACAGTCTCAGGTACTTCCCTTTTGTAACTGGAGAGACTTTGTTTGCTCACTTTGTATGATGTCTTACAGGCAACAACTGCTTGAGAACATTTCAAAGCTCCAACATGCTCCTAGTGTTCCGTTCTACGAAAGGCCACCGGATATGGAGCCTGGCGAGGAAATGGTCTGGGTGTCTTGAAATTCCGGAACTGTTATTAACACTTTGTAGCTTTCAGGAGGAGGATGACGCTGATGCACGGCCAACAAGGCCTAAGCCAGGAGTGTGGAACGGGGAACCAGTTGATTCAGACTCCGAAGGCGAGGGAGACGTACACAGGCAGAGGCAGAGGCTCCCGAAACAAGAACTCGATTTCATCAGCAGGTTTGTATCGAAAAATCCTTCAAGCTTTCAGTAGCATGCCCCTGAAAAAGTGCCATTGATTGACTAAATAGGAAGCTGCCACCATCTGAAGAACCGGCTGTCAAGAGACCAAAGTTTGATGAAGTAAGTGAGCTCGCATTTCCTGACGTCTCATGGGTTAATTAACTTTTCAGAGGACTGAAGAGCAGAGAGATGATGATATCGCAACTTCACTCTCTTTAGGCCCAGCAATGGCAGCAGAGATTAAGATTAGCTCGTGAGCATGTAAATATAACAACTGGTCCAGAAGTTTTGAGCAACAGAGTTTTTTGGTTCTTGTTGCTAAGGAGCTCTTTCACAATATGACTTTCATGTATTTTCTGCGAAAGAATTAGAAGGCGTGCTGTCCCAGAAATCTCCCAAGGCCATCGGTCACGTTTTGGCAATGGTCAAAGCTACGCAAGATAAAGCAATGCAGAATTGGAGAATTGGATAATAATAAAATTAGGATTATTTTGGAACAAAGATGTTAGAAAAAAAAAATTAGCTACAAAAATTTGTGAATGATCTGTAGTGCTTTTTAGGTAAGATATAATATTTCAGTTGTTTTGTGAATCATCTTTCTTGATTGCACATAAAATATAATATCTTAGTTGTTTTGTGAATCATGTTTCTGATTGCATTGCACTGTTATGAGCATCATTGCAATCATCAATGTCATTTTTCATTTGGTGTGTAGATTATGAGTGGATGTTTATGAATCTCAAAGAGTTATTAACAACTCTTCCGGTTTTGGTATATCTTAATTATATTAACCTTTCATTTTGTACGTAGATGTTTTTGATATTGGTCTTAGTTAAAGGTGTGTTGATACAAAAGAGCCCAAGTGTGCTTAGTCAACACCATCCTATTGTTATATTACTAAAAGGTGATCATGCTACTATTACTTCATTATTGAAATGGGCTTTGAATTTTTAAATATATAATTTTAATATTGTTCATTGCCCGGGGAGTTTTATGGTTGATGTTAATACCCTTTCTTGAGTTCCTTTTTCTTCACTCTCGTTTCATGTTTCTAATGAGCCTGTTATTTTAGTATTTATAGATTTTCTAAATAAATATTCTATGCCATCGGCAGTTGTTGTACTTGATATTCAGTGTCCACAAAATGCAGAGCAAGATTTATCTTTTCTTGATGAGGTTCACAAGGCTCAAAAAATTAAGCTATGGATTTGAATGCTTCGAGATAGGTTTGAGAATTCTGCATCACTTACTGATGACTTGCTATTCCAGTATTTACATTCTCAATATCACCTTGAAGATAACTTTTTTTATTTTGTGGGGATAGTTCCTAGTGATCATTTACAGCTGATGGTGCTTTCAATATTTATTCCATAGTTTTTCCATACCTACTATAATTCTCTTGTTTTAGGTGGGCATATGAAATATTGTCATGTGACTGAGAAGTTGCATAAGTTTTGTTATTGGCCAGAGATGCAATATGATGTTGTCTGATATGTGTATAACTATATTTGGTGCCAAGCTAATAATACTCCCCTTTGTGCTATGGAAAGACGATTGGAGTCAATTATAATTTCCCGTTCATTTGAGTTTGTGGCATTCAATTTTATAGGACTTTTTCCATAATTGACTATTAGCAATAAATATGTTATTATTACTTCTAACTACTTGACTCGTTAGGTGGAAGTTGGTGCTTTTGTTAGTGCTTTTGCAACTGCTGTTGGATACCTCCTCCTTAATTGAGTGGTGTTCTAGCATTCTTGTTCGAAGCGGATTCTTTCAGATAATGGTCCTGCATTTATGATTAAGGCACTTTATGTTTTGATGTCTCAGTTGGGAATACACCACACTTTTACAAGTGCTTATCATCCATAGTCAGAAGGTTTAGTGGAATGGCTCGTTCAGACATTCAAAGGGATGATTATGAAGTATGTGAACTTTTAATATTTAGATTGGGATAGTTATTTGCCATCTCTTCGGTATGTATATGTCATAGGGGTGTAGAATTCTATTGGTGCTTCACCATATAAATTTCTATATGGTTATGATTCAATATTACCAAGGTAGTTAGATTTACTTTCACGATTGCCACGAGTTGCTGATGCTCAACAACAACACTCATTTTAATTATTATATTTACTATAAGATCATTTAGTATTTCTTAATTACGGTTTAAAGAATATACTTAAAATACCAAAAAATTTCTAGGATATAATTGTTGATTATTTATCTTTAATATAAATTATGTTTAAATTTCTAGTTAAAAATCACACTATAATTTAGTAAGTGAAGGAGTGCAAATATTTAATATCAAATAAAATGCAAAATCAATACTGTGAGGTCCAAGTGTACAGCTACGATGCCGATACTATAGCATAGTGGGATTTTGGTAGTTGTCGGATTGGTTTCAATCTAAACCATTCACTCTTATATATAGTTTTTGGGCTAATTGATATACACATTTTCTGTATTCCATTTCCATATTCCAAACACTCACATTGGTGGAGTTGAGGGATGACCATGCACTTAAATTGAATAAACATAAGGTAGGAACTATATGTGTTTTTTGTTGAGCATATTTGGCCTGGTTTGAGAAATTTGTGTCATTGGTTTGCATTTGCTAGTATTAAGAACCCCGTGATATTGAGATTAGTCCCTTAATATTCGCTAGATGATAGCTTACTGTATTTGCCAAACACCCTTGCTATCATGCTCTTTGTCCCAAATACTATTTATGGAAAGTGTCTAAATTTGCTTATTTGGCATATTTACGGAATGTAGAGATTCTTTTGAACACAATGGTGTTTGTCCTGTATCAAAATTCGCAATCTAGAGATATTCCATATTTAGTAAGTTTCAAATTTATCCCAGAGACTAACTCCTGGTACCAAGGGAGGCTAGAGGTGAAGGCCCAAAACGTGTGTTCATTAGGGGGTGGGGGTGTAAGCAACCAAAAGGAACGAGGGAAAGGGCTCATGAACAAAAGTGCACCCCCTTTTCCAATCGGTTAAGGGTCTTGGGATACTTGGGGTTAAGCGTCTTTGGGTTTGAGTAGTACTAAGCTGGGTGACCTCCTGGGAAGTCCAAATTTAGGAGCTTACATTTGGTATTAGAGGGGTCTCGGGTCCGACTCTATTGGTTGGCTAGGAGAATCACACCACATGTTAATTGACATTTGGCTGGTCCAGTTTGCTCCCACTAGGCTCGACTTTGTTGGTTGGCTAGGGGAATCACACCACATGTTGATTAACATCTGGCTGGTCCAGTTTGCTCCTGCTAAGCTCGACCTGAGGGGTAGGGTGTCAAGAGAGCGGGGCTCTTGAGAGAGCTATGGCTCTCATCTTTCGTTCACGAGGGTGTGAACTTGCAGAGAAGTGTAATGGATTGTAAACAACCAAAGGGAATAACTCGAGAGACGATCCATTGTGGTTCAAATATAGAGGGAAAGGGCTCATGAACAAGAGTGCACCCCCTTTTCTAATCGGTTAAGAGTCTTGGGATACTTGGGGTTAAGTGTCCTTGGGTTTAAATAGTACTGGGCTAAGTGACCTCTTGGGAAGTCTAAATTTTAGGAGCTTATAGGGGGATATAGGGGGTTTCAAATGTATAGTAGGGATAGTGGGTAATTTGGGTATGGCTGATTAACCTAAAGCATAGTTTAGCTCTCACTTGTGTGCCTGTCCTTGTTTTGCATTAGGCCATCAATATGCTAAAATAGCTAAAATAGTGCTAAACTCCATTTGGCTCCGTTTTGCATGCTAGTTTTAGCATTGGGATGTTGGTTGCTCTAAGATTGTTCTAAGTTGCTCTGTGCTCCTGTCTCTTTGCTCTTTGGGCTATATGCTCAAGAGTCATTCCATGCTCTAGTGCCATCACTCCTTAGCTCTATGTTTAGGATTTTGGCACCATTCCTTCATTCAGTGGCCCAAGGCCCTAAATTTCGAGTTCTATATCATTGTTCTTTGGACATGTGGCATATGGCATGTGGCATATGGCATGTGGCATATGACATATGGCATATAGAGGGTTTAGGTTTCGCTTCCATGGTTATCCTATGATAAATCACCATAAAATAAAGGGTAAAAACCACATGCACTATAGTCCCTAAAGAGTGCTTAGATTTTGGATTTTTGTTTAAATCTAGCTTTTGCATCATCTAGATTTAGCTTTCTCCATTTTCTATCTTTTGTTCTTTTCTTTCAGGATTTTGGTTTAGATCTAGCTTTTCCATTGCCTAGATCTCCCTTTCCTTTTAGTTTTTTCTCATTTCTCTTTCTTTGCTCTTTCCTTTTCATTCATCTTCATGGTAGGGCAGTAGTCTCCTCCTCTGATTCTAGTGCAGTAGTTGGTGCAATTGCTTGATGTTATGCGATTGCAATTAAACAACCAAACTTAGTTGATGGCGGCATTTATGGCACATGGCATAGCTCCTCTTGCTCTTGGTGTTAATCCTCGCATTCGGTCGGAGTTATTTCGTGGGAATCTTGGGGATGATGTGTACTATTGGTTCAATCATTTCATGGTGATTGCCATATATCATTCTTGGGATGATACTCGATATTTACATGAGTTTCCCATGTGTTTCCAAGGGACAGCACTGTAGTGGTACAATGGTTTGTGTGCAGCCACTCGTGGGGATTAGAGTGTTCTCCCAAACGTCTTCAAACACACATTCAGATATACTGACAATTATGATAATGCCTTCCAGCAATTGCATCGTCGTTGTCAAGGGCTATCTAAGTCAGTGATGCAATTTGATATTCGTTTTCAAAGCCTTTTGCTTCGTGTAGAGCCAATATGTCAGAGTGGATCAAGCTAGAAATGTTGTGGCTAGCACTTCATCAAGATTTTGTCGAACTTGTGCATGCACTTGCTCCAGCCACCCTTGATGATGCTTTTTGCTTGGCACAACACTATGAGACGTTGCCTCTTCCACTTTTCATTGCACATCCTTCCGCTCTACTTCCTGTGGGCGAGGGTCCTGGTCCAATGGAGGTGTAAGCGACTAAATTTTCCATTCTACTTTAGTCACTTAACCACACCTCTGACCACTTGGAGGAGTCTCATTCACAACCTCCATAAGTCCAATCCAGGACTTGGGACTTGCTAGCCCCGAAAATGGCATCCATGCCACTCAACATTTGCACTTGGTCCAAGTGCTCCACGTGTCCGATCCCATGACCGACACTCAAAGGTACCACCGACATAGCAGCCCATTACGCTAAGGCCATGCCCAATCACCTTTGCCACACTGGTAGTCCGATACCACTTGCATCACAGTCTTGGCTCTCCAAGACTAGGCAAACCATCTGTGAGTGGT